TGTATTCCAACCATCATGAGGCTATCTAAATGAGCATTTGTCATAACAGAACGCAAATTATTTTTAATTAGTCTCATTGAATTATTATTATTATTATTATTATTATTATTATTACTATTATTATTACTATTATTATTAGTATTATTATTAGTATTATTATTATTATTATTATTATTATTATATTATTATTATTGTTATTGTGGTTGTTGTTGTGATGAAACGTTGTTGTGATGTAAATATTTTTTTTTATTTGTTTGTTCCCCGACAAAATTTATCGTCTTCCCCGACGAGGTGGATATGCTTCCCCGACGGGGGGGGGGTGCTATAGCCCCCCCCCCCTCCCCCCCCTCTGGCGCCACCCCTGCTTGCACCTAATGTTTATTAATTTTGAAAATTGTAATCAAATACATAGACCTACATTTCGATGTTTTTTGCGTCAGGAAATGGAATGGTTTGCCAAATAGCCATAGTCCTACCTGGCCTGTTACGTATACTCAGTTTGGTTTGTTTGGCAAGTATGATTATTCAGTACGATAACACGTCAGGTAGTGCAAAACATCACTCTTCAAACACATAAATTTTTTTTAATGAATGCATGACGTTTAGGCCTATAACATTGTCAAATCATGGTCAACAAATGACCTACTGCGAACATAGGTCAATGGTCATTGTCATACTATCCCTCATTATACAATCTGAGGACATAGTTGGAACATGGAGGAATAAATAAGAATTATTCCTCCATGGTTGGAATTAGGAATTGTGTTTCTTGATCCAATCGTAGCGATGCATTTTGGCATTGATTTATGATTGGTTGAGAGGATATCACTTCGCCAACTCGGGCAGTATAGCCGGCCTACTTCAGTAGTACAATATGGCTGATCAAAGTTGAGAATTGCGATAGGCCTATAACGTATAACTTAATATTTACCAGGCCTCTTCTTTTTCAAGAAAAAAAAATACTTTCATAAAAAAATGGTGGTTTTACGGGACCTCGGGAGATAGTATAGAAAATCGCACAACAATTTCCACAGATGTTTCCCTCGACACTACATCGACAATTAAATTTTTGCGACCAAAGCATCCGGGTCGCGTTCAAGTTTAACAATCCAGTTAAAGTGTCTGCTATGCTATTGTTAAATTAAAATAATAGCTGGAATTTGGACTTAACATATCAAAAGACAGATTTAACGTTCTACGCGCTTCCGGGTTGTAGATAAAATGAATACAGTATACAGTAGGCCTACACGCGAATACAATTATAGGTCTCTTTTTCCAATATTTGATCATATTTTGACTGGTCATATTATATTCGTCACCTTGGTAATGCGTATCAGTAGTTATGCTATTTAGGACAATTTACCAATTTAAGTGTGTACTGCCACTACAATACGGTACCACAGTCTATTTATATACATGAATAACATCTTTATTTATGTAATGTCACGCGGGTGGTGAATAGCTGAACCGTGGCCTATGATCTGCAGTAGGTGCTTTGCCTTTTATAAGGACAATAAATGATCATTCTCGTATGATGATCTGATCTACTAGAATGTTGTAGGCCAGGCTGTATTAATAATTAACCTCACCCCACCACACCAGAAGAGGCATCATCCCTGTCTCACAGAAGCCATTACAGGTAAGCTTACTGTAGAATTAAAAAACCCTGTCACCTTTTGGGGATGATGGCAATCGAGGCCTCGGATATCTTAGACCCATGAGCTATATCGGGCTAAAACTCTAATTGGCCTATTAACTCATTTATAAGCACAACAACCTAGGCCTATAGTATTTGAATTCCTATTACAATTTCCTTAATTAAATTGACTGATTGTTGTGATTGAATTTCTGGTGTAAAGTACATGAAATTAATGAGTCACCATATTTATATAAAGCAGGTCCATACGGACACGTCGACGAAGCAAATAATAATAGGCCTACAATAAAAGAAGTAGAGTGGATGACGAAGGCTAAAGTGAATAGTGTCATGGAGGAATCAAATGTTGTTTTCCTCCATATGAGCGGATGCAACTGGTTAAAAGTAATTGAAATGTGAGGTATAACTTATCAAAAGGATTATGTTGATGGCGGTGAATAATAATGCCCTACCATTCTATTTATATGTACCTTTATATATTCATAGGCTTCTTGAAACTAACCAAATTCATATCGACTGGAACGTTGTTTGAAGCCTTCAAAAATCTTTATTATGTTAATAGCTTACACAAAACCCCACTTTTTGAAGTGCCAATTAAATGTGAAGGTTAATCTGTTTTTACAATTATGTATATCGACAAGTTCTTTTAAATATCAATTTTAGGCAGACGATATCTAAAGGCTAGTCTGACATGGTCCGACCTAATGATATTTAAAATAATTTCATCTCCAGTACTCAATCAATAATTAATTAAATCTTAATTCGTTCTTTAATTCTTAATTCCTGTAGCTTAACTCAAGCTCTTGGCATCTCTCGTTTTACTGGGAAGTGTACCTGGTTATTTAAACCAGGTGAACTAGCAGTGGCACAGTCCCTAATAGCTATAAATTTAATACGCGGTAAACGATATTTCCTTACTTGGGAGAGCTTTCTGGAAAATAAAAAGAAACTTGATGCCATCTCTAGGCATTGTCACTATTTGCAATTAACCGAATTATTTTTTTTAATATCTTTCAGTGATATAGGCCTATAATTATATCATTAGAAACGAAGTATAAAAGAAGATGACTGATGATCCGGTGAACTCTGTCGTGCCATCAACGTCACCAGATGGCTTGGATCAGTCGACCGCCATTTTGGTTGGGATACTTGTCAGCGTAGTTATCATAATGTGCGTTGTCGGTATTATACTTGCATACATAACGTATAACTCCAAAAAAGAGACCAGAAAGGCACAGAGGGAACTTGCAAAATTCCGACAGAAAATATTGTATGAGAAGGAACAGAAACGATCGGAAATTCTCGGCAAACACAAGTCGGACTTCTGTGGTTGCACTTGCTTTCAAAATCCACCTGGGGTGCGAGTGCCCACTTGTGGCTGCAATGGAGCGCCATTTGGAAATTCAGCAATATCAGACGCAAAATGTGTTACTGCATCTTGTACTATAGACTCAGGAAAATCGTACACGAACCAAGGATTTTCACAATGATTATAAACTGATATTTGAACGAACTGATGGCCAAATACAAAATTATGTATCAAATAATGGGACAACATTGAATATATGTGTATATTATATAGGCCTATATATAAATTAGGATAGCTACATAGCACTATAAACACAATATAAACAAAATGGATAACATTGCTCAAATAGGAAAAATTATTATATATCTCATTGTGAAATGCTGAGGCACATTGTTCCATAAATTATGTACCAAAACACGTCAACTTGACTTGTTTTTTTCATTGTCATCACCTATATATATATATAAATTATATAAAATTATTATCGTGCCCTTTATTAGAACACTGTATTTACCTTTCTTTGATGATTTATATATATATATATATTATATATATATATATATGTATTATATAGTGTATTTGATTTTAACGTTTTCAATAATAATTAAAATATGTCAATTATAATGTAAACATTGTATGCTCCCTGTTAGTAATGCATACATTGAGGCATGGCAGGTTTGATTAATGGAGGATTTAGGCCATAAAGCATCCTTTCAAACCCTAATTTTGAAATTTGATTTATATCATGTTGTGTAAATAACACTAAAGTAATATCGCATCGTATCCTATAATAAATGGGGCCAAGTAGGTACATAGTACAAACAAAACAACATATTCATGTTAGGTTACGTTGGTCATTCATCTGTGTTTCCTTTTAAGCAGAGGTCTGTCAAAATTGAATTAGTCTTAGAGAACAAAGGTAAGAACAGGTTTTATAACTGTATTGGAATAATAACTTATACTTATATAATAAATTTTAGTAATATTGATTTAATTTCTACTACTAATATACCACGAAAACATGTTTATTCTTGTTAAACAGTGTCTGCATGGGGTTTGTGTATCATTTTCACCACTTGCAGAAACTGCAAGAGCTTTGTAAATGCAGTATGTACACTTCTCTTTAGGAATAATGGCCGATGTGCTCGCTCCTCCTTCAGTCGTTCCAACATCACACACTCTTCCAGACGCCAAATGAGACGTGCACAGGAGGAATTAGTAGATTTCCAGCAGACAATATTGTATAACAAGGGGAGAAGAAGATCAGAAATCTTGGGCAAACACATTTCTGATTTTTGTGGATGTGCATGCGACCGAAATCCCGCTGGCGTGCCAAATAACCCTGCTTGTAACACCGGCACTATCAACAACAAATTCTGCTTTTTTGGTGTAGTTGGACCTCTGACATTGAAACATCTTTAATGTATCACTAGACTAATGCGCTGATGTGGTATCCCACTCCTACTCAGAAAAAATATCAAATTGATATGAGAATAAAATATATATCCAGAAAAAGTCGGATCTAGATATTTGAAAGATCACGGTCATCAGACTAGGTTTTAAGGAGTATCATACTGTATTCAAGATTCAAGAGTCGAGATTTACGATTACTTTATTTGGTCCTTTCTAAAAAAAAATAATTGTTTCAGATTTTAGATCTAGAACAGTCGGTTTGCTCTAGATCTTAACCATAGTCTTATAAGTGATCTTTCAGACAAGATATTTTAAGTGAGGATTTTATATGGTCTAGTTACAGGTTTTCATGATTATCACATTGTATTCAGGATTCAAGGGTCTAGATTCAAGAGTAAATTTATTTGTTTCTTTCTCAATTGCTAAATTGTAAAAGTAAAAACTTGTAATTAAAAATAGTGTATTGATTACCGGTGCCTACGTTTCATGTAACCTAGAACCATAGTACGCTTGATTTTTTATTAAAATTGCTTTTTGTTAAATAGGCCTATGTTAAATCAGGATCGGATATTTTTATGATGCTTTAAATAATGAAAAAGAAGTAAAGTTTTTTTTGAAAATTGTTTTAAGCCTAGTTTTATTATGCATGGTGACGATGATAAAGAGAATCCAGTTCACCTTGAGCAATAAAAATGATTATACTTGAATCAAAGCCTAAAACATTCCTAATGTTACTATTCTCGATACTCTATAATAATTATTAATCATCAACATCATCATCATCATCATCATCATCATCATTATTTAGGCTTGTCAAAAAGCTTAAATGAGAAGAGGTTCTTGTGAGCTTAAAAACAATGTTTACATAATAATAAAATAAATTTTGAGCATATTACCTGTGAATATAAGCTCAGCAAATTGGATCCATGCATTCACCATTTAAAAGAGAAAATTATTTTAGAAATTGCCGTGTAGGGCAGAAGATCTCTTCTCTGTTCATTTGCTTAGTTAAAATGGAGGCGCTGCTGCAAAACCAAGATGAGAAAAGTTGCCCCTGCGGAAATAGCGCGTTTGGAGGTGTTTGTTTAGTCACAGGTTGATAGTTGATAACATTATTGATATTGAATTTCCGGAGTCTTCGTTTGGACTCATCAATGAACAGAGCATTCACGGTTCTATAAAATAGTAAATATTAAATTTTAAAAAGTGTATATATATTTATGATTGTTTATAATTTTGTAATGATGTATTCATGATAAATAAAAGTGGTGGTTCACTACAAAAGAGAAAAACATCATGATCCAGCACTCAATTGTTGGAAAAGTTCGTAACTCTATGAGGCAAACTGATGATTTTGATACAGTCGAGCTGGAGAGAGGTGTTCTGAAAAGCAGTTATGATGTAACATGCTTGGTTACGATACAAAAGAGCAGTACAGTATAACGTTACAATTTGACAATGAAGAAAAAAGGTGAAAGGCATCAATGGCTGTTACATATCAAAAGCGTAACCTAAGGTGAAAATAAGGTAAAGACCCTAAAATGTTCTTGTACCCTTACTCGTTTGATATGGAACTGCGCCAATCCAAGGCCTAACCAGTGTTGACATTAACCACACCACATATATTTCTAACAAAAGATGTAGTTATTTGCATTCGGCATTCAAGCATAACAAAACATTCGAGAAGGTGTTTAATAGAGTTGTTCATTTCCTCAGGGATTTCTGTAACTCTTGTAAGCGGAGGTCTTTGATTTGTCCTGTGGTTTTAGAGTCTATCAGGTAAGAACAGATTTCAAAACTGAATTTTGATGATATTTAAAATTTACTACGATTTTGATAAGCTCATACTTTAGTTTGAATTCTTTAACATTTATACAAATTTTTCCTGTCAACCAACAAATCTCTGAAAAACGCAGCGACAGTGCGTTTTTGCGTGTATATATATATATATGTATGTATATATATATA